TCTAGTGTTGTTCCACCCTCTCTTGTACACAAGTTATTTTACCTATATCATACAGAATGAATGTTAAGAGATCCTTGTGCTTATGCTGAATCATTTCCATTGTTCAAGCTTATTCCCATAAGGCATATGTGCATGAATAGGACACACTAGTCTGGTGATTAGTACACTAAGGTCTGCCTGCTCAGTTACTAAGGCCATATTTCCAAAAGGGTTTGATCCCTTTCAGGCCTTTTTTTTGAGGTGCCTGCCACAACCCAAATTCATTGATTAATGCATTCTTCTCAACTGCAACTAGTTGCCTTTCTTTTGTCCACTCCCTCACTCCTTAGGCATATCTCATATCAGCTAAAGTGGATGCCCACTATTGACTCCATCTATACTGCATCACATTTTTACCCAAATGAGTCACCCTCCCAAATCCAGTAATACCATATCAGATTGCAATGTGCTGTTCAAGAGCATGGTGAGCAGTGGAGAGCAAGTAAGTACAAGTCAATTCTCATACCCCATGATTGACTGTGCATGTTAGCACTTGAAGGAATTGATCTGTGACATGGAGAATGCTTGCAACTGCCCAAACACCAAAAAGATATGGAAGGAAGTATTGAATGAGACATGTACTCATCTTGCTGAGTAAGCACACACAGATTTCTACCATTGACTGCTAATCTAATGTACCACAGAGCACCACATGCCTCCCAAGCTGACACTCTGAAGTACAGTACAAATGGGAGGTACCTTCTGGGCATTCTGTATCAACTGATGCCATCCCAAGAAGCACTGGTCACAGTCTTACTGATATGCTGAGCAGGCTGACCACGGCAATTGGATCTCCCTCAGTGATAGCCCAACCGGAGCTGTTGCCTTCTGACATCATCAGTCTGGAGATTGACTCACTGGTGACTACCTTCATCATGGTGGATTCTACAGTGGTCTCAGTGAGTGACACCAACTCTCTTGTGTGCAACATTGACCAAGAGCAGCATGCTTACTAATAGAGAGTCATGTTCCTGAAACTCATGATGATGTGATGCAAAACTTGATGATTGCTATGTGCCATGGGCAGGCTTGTTCCCCTTCTGGAAAGACATCAAAAGTAGAGCCAACAATGTACAGAGTGATGTTTGGTCAGAAGAACAGTGGAACATCTGCTGAAGCAATTTGCATGATGTCCAGAGTGTCAAACCAGATGTGACCCTGCAGGACCTCAGTACCACCTGAGTGGGCTGTCAGAAAACCCATGAAGGCCCTCAAGGAAAGGAGTTGAGCTTGACAACTTCTAGAATTGAGGAAGCTCATTGGACAGGATGACATCAACTTCATTGAAGACACAGTGAAAGACCTAGCTTACTGGACCATCCATGTTCCTTATCTTGGCCACCATGACTTCACATGGCAAGACCCCTTTGTCAGTAATATGAACTGTGCTGAGGTGGACATGCTGGTTCAGTGAGTGTGGCAGGCTACATAACAGGCAGACTATTGACCACCTTTGCAGGGTTGGCACATTCTGCAAAGAGAACAACAGTAATGTCAGCTCCAACAGCATAGATCTTTGGTTCATGACACTGGATGTGCAGTTCGCAATTGATGAATTCAGAAGTCTAATTTGCCACACTCAGCCCAAAGGTGAGAAGCCCCTGACAAAGGATCAAGCCTATCAAGAGATGTGGGATTATTGTCAAAAGCGATCAGTCAGTCTTTGTCTTATTTGTCAAATGGTTCTTTCTGTTTTCTCATGGAGATGGCCAAATGCAATGCAGAAACTAAACTTATGGCATTTCAGTTGGGAAACAAAGGGTTGGGAGCACATCCCACTATTTATTCATGGCAAGCTGCTCTCCTACTTGTCAGCACAGCACGGGAACGGCCGGCCAGCCAGCCTCTTGGGAGGAGGAGATCAAGATGTACCAGACTATGCTGCAAAAGTATGGGTTCCAACCAAATGCACTTGTGGCAGCCCATGAAGCAGCCACAGTGGTGCAAGAAAAGGAAAGGCAGTGGTGCAGTGTGAAATGGAGGAAACAACTGTTGAACAGTTGCACAATGTATTGCATAGAGATGAAAATATTCTGGTGAGGCTGAGGAAGCCAAGGCAGAAAGAGTGATTGGCAGGTGACAAAGGAGTGTATTAGAGTCAGAGGACTGTCCATACATAATTAACATATTGAAATTCTTGGCAATGTTTCCTTTGACTAGGTTATGTGGCCAAGTCAGGGAAGCCAAGTTGTCGAAGAGCTGATTGCTTTGCCTTCATGTCGACTCCATATACTGAATCACAATCAGCTAGCCATGCAGCATCTGCAGAAATGAAGTCAGTATTTGTTAGGGCAACACAGGCTGACTAAGTCTGATCACCTAAGAGTGCCAAGAGTCTAAGCAGGCAACAAGGAAGTGGAGTAGACCTGATGACTAAGACCTATCTACATTATAGGTACCTGTGGATGATCCTCAGAGACCAAGTC